TTCTACTCGAAATGGAAGTAAGTTCAACAATTATGAAACAAGAGAGTCCTCGAAACCCAAATTTACTTCGTATATATCAAGTTGACTTGGTCCAGTATACACGTTAACACACACACACACACGCACTCGAGCAAAAGTAGCAGGACCAGTATGAAAGATAGTTAGTCAAACCATACAAATATCTATCTATGCTTGTTCATTTTCAATTCTGATTATGAGTATGTGTATATAAGAGATTAGATAGAGCCGGATAGTCTTCTTGACCTTGTGTTATTGTGTTACTTCTACAAGAATGAGTTCCAGCTCGGATGCTGTCCATCATATGATGGACGAAAGCCGAGCACGTTTTCACCCGAAGCGAGGAAAGATGTCTCTTCTCCATGCACTTTCATACGAAATGAGGTTCTCCCCAACGAGGTTACTCATTTTTCCTTTTGTCAGTAGGCTTTCGAGTCTGCTATCAAGTCAGATATATGAGATGTCCTCACCACAGCGTTGCCACCGGTTGCCGCTGGCTCGCTCTTCTCCGCCCGTCCTCTAGGTTACATTCCACGTGCGGCTTTTCAGCCCAGCCCAGCGCGAGTGGGTGCCCATTCCGAAGGCCCTGGTCGACAGCAGCGCCGGCCTCCGCGTCCACCAGATAAACCCCGACCTGCTGTGGCAGGCTGCCGCCGTCGCCGTCGCCGCCGCTTCGGGCAACCTGACCTCCGAGTCGGCCGGCCTGGCGCACTGGGCCGGCGCCGCCGGGGAGCTGGGCGGGCTCGACGTGACGCGGCCCCGCGTCCAGCTGGACGCCGCGAGTGCCGCCTCGGAGCCGGCCGTCCGGGTGCGTCGGGCGCCAGCCGACTCGGCTGTGTTGGAGGCGAGCGCCGTGCTGCGCGCGGCCTACCCTTCCAGCCGGATGGGTCTGCTTCAGGTCCCGCTGGTCGTCGCCTACCGCGCCCTCCTGCCCTCCGCCGCCTGCCCGCAGCTCGACGGCCGCCAGGCCCTCTGCGACAAGGCCCAGCAGCCGCTGGTCGACTGGTCCGGCTGCCGCGGCCAGCTCGACCTGGTGCAGCACGTCTGTCTGCCTCAGCCGCGCTGCGAGGCCAAGCTGGCCTGGAGCGCGGCCTGGGAGGATATCGATCTCGCCGACAGCGCCGCGCCTCCTTCCGACGCGGCCGCGCCGCTGCGCGTCGGCCGCGTCGAGTATGGCCGCCCGGGCTTCCGGCGCCGCGTCCTGCGCGCCCGCCTCCGCAATCTCGGCCCCACCAAAGCCACCGGCCTGCGCATTGCCGTCCGCTCGGCCGACTCGGCGCGCGCTGGCCTGCGTGCCATGCTGGTCTCGGCGCGTCTCTTCCAGC